CGCTTAATCTTTGATGCAATGAAGAAATCAATTCTTTTGTTTTTGAGGTCATCTCTTCATCATCCCAAACAAAATGACTTCACATTTTGTGCCCATAAAACTATAAAGAATATAGAAGAAGAACAAGTTCAACGATTTTTGAATCACACATAATAAACTTTGAATGGAATAGTTACAAAACATTAACATTGTACATCCCACACCTGTAAAAATGATATCCTAGGTTAGCATTGTTTCATGATATCATCAATTGTGAATCAATATCACACCTACATTTGTCTCAGATAGAATGAGATTTTGTGTCATTACTTGCTTAAAAATGGGACATGATTGTTTCTGATGAGGATGATGTAGGTGACATCCTAAGTTTAGGGTTTGTCTAAAATTGGAGACGATGGAATGACAACCAATTAATGAAAAAAATGACGGACTACATTTACAAACGCCACAAGGAAGGCACTAGTTTAGAGTTTTATATTGGTCATTGTTTAATAATAATAATAATAATAATAATAATAATAATAATAGTGATAATAATAGAAATAAATAATTTTTAATATTTAAATGATTAAAAAATAACTAAAAAATAAAATAATAAAATTTTAATTTAATATTTTCACGTAAGTGCATTTAATAAAGTAGCGCCACATACTCTAAGATCATGTGAGTCTTTTTGTGGTGTCTCCTACATAAAAGTGGAAGGAGATAAAAAAAATCAACAAAAAAAAATTAATATAATGATCAAAAGACTGAATTTTTTAAAGAGTGACTAAAAATTAAAAATAACGAAATAAAAAAACTAAAATTGCATTTAAACTTATTCTTGAATTTAATGTCTCTACCGTTAAAATAAGTTAGTACACCATTTTTTTAATTTAATATTAAATTGAAATATGCTTACATTTTCAACAAGGTGTGAATTCTTGTCTTCCAATTTCCACACCAGTCAGCGCCATCAAACTTGTCGCACAAAAAATTCTTAACTTTGAAGCTAAGTATTTTATTTTATAGACTAGATACAAATATTCTATCACCCCATGGTTTTTCTAATTTTAATTTCACACACTTTTTCATATCCATAGTTGACTAAAATCAAGAATTTCCTGGAAGCAGTGACAGAAATAATATATAACGGTTCTCTTTTCTCAAACCTATATACATCATCATCTCGACAATTAATTTAATTTTCAATGAAATTATTGTGGGAAAAAAACTAATTTTAAAAGCATGGAGATTGCAAAACTTTTTACATAAAATAATATTCTGATTTGTAAGTAAAAAAATTCACTAACAACAAATAAATTACTTTTAATATTAATATCTTATAAAATAAATTGTAAAAACTGCAAAAATCTTATAGTTGTCGCTAAATTTGTTATTAACGAATGAAAATTACTCATGTGATTTGTTTTGAACAAATAAAAGACTAATATGATAGTGGTCTCTAAGTTGGTTATTAAAACAATCATCACTATTGGTTTTAGTTTTGATGAGTTTTTGTGTGTTTTTTATTACGAAATTACAAAAGAAACGTGAGATACTCTCCAAGTTATCTATGAAGGCACTGTTGAAGTAAAGAGGTTGAGGTTAAACACACTGACCCATAAGGATGAGCACTTTAGAATGAAACCTAAAAAGAACATTTATGACATGCAAAAACAATTCACTAATATCGTGAGTCACATGAGAACTTTTGGAAAAACTTTTCAAAATGATGACTTGATTGTAAAAGTCCTTAAATGTCTAAACTATAATTGCAACAAAAAGTCACTGCAATTTTTGAATCTAGGGATTTATCAACAATGAACATTGCAAGTTTATTTGAAAAATTACAAGAATATGAGATGAGATTAAAAATACTTGTTAATGATGAAGAAGGAAATAAGAAGAAGACTCTAGCTCTCAATGCTCAAGACGAAAAATGATTATGACTCCGATGAAGAAATGACACTAATATTGCAGAACTTTAAGAGATTCATGAAGCGTGAAAGACAGAAAGAATGACAGGAAAAACGAAGGAAAATATTCATTCACTCCTACATGATTTCAATGTGGGAATAAATGACATATAAGACCAATGTCCCTCAAATTGAGAAGAAAAAACAAAATTGTGAAAAAGTCGAAGGAAGGAAGGAAAAGGAAATCTTACATTTTCTATGACGACAATGACACAAAATTCTCATATGAAGAAGCCAATATATGTTTCATAGCATATCACAAAGATAATGAGGTAACTTTCAACTTTTCTTATTATGGTTTGTTTCATATTTGTAAGAAGTTAAATAAAGAAACGAGTAAGTTGAAACAAATTGTCTCCGATTCTAGAGAAATTATGTTCTTCCTTGATGAAAATCAAAATCTTATAGAAAAAGTAGAAACTCTTTGAGAAAGACAAAAATTTACAGCTCAAGTATTTTCCTCTTCTCACGAAGTATTCGTTAAATCTGATAAGTTCAATCAATGTGACATTTTAAAAAATGAAAATAAGAATTTATAAAACACACTTGAAAGATTTTGAGAGTAATAGACAATTTGAATCTCTTTCTTCAAAATCAAAGAGCATTGTACAATAAGGTCGACTTAGGTTATAAACCTTCTAATAATGTTAAAAAGTTTGACAAAATTTGACATGATCATAAAACTCCCAAATGCAAAACTCTTGAATGCAACTATTGCAATATAAATTACCATGTTGCTCTTTTTTTTTTCATTAAGAATAGTCATGAAAGTAAAGATGGTCATCCTCCTTCATATTTTTATGGAAAACATCACGAACGTAAAATAAAAAGAATGTATATTGCATATTTCTGCAAATATGATCCTTATGAAAAACTCAATGGGAATATTTATCAAAACTAACATTAAAGGATCCAAAATGATTTGGGTATCAAAAGTTAAGATTTGAGTTCTTGTGCAGGAGTGTTCTATAGTATGAAACGCTAAGTGGTATCTCGATAGCGATTGTTCAAAGCACATGACCGGAGACAACACTTTGTTCTCCTCTTTCTCTCATAAAAAAAGAGGCTTTGTTTCATATGGTGATGCCTACAAAAGGAAAATCATTGGTATTGATATCGTTAGTAAGTTCTCTGGTCCAATAATTGGGGAGGTTCTTTTAGTTTAGGGTTGAAAACATAATTTGCTAAGTATTAGTCAATTATGAAATAAAGGTAATCATGCAACTTTTTATTCTTCAGAATGCATAGTTATCAAAACCAAATTCGATCAAACTATTTTTACCTACTCTAGAAGTGAAAACACCTACACCGTAAATTTAAACAGGACTCATTCTAATCATGTTTGTCTTTTTAGTAACAAGGATGAATCTTGGCTATGACATAGAAGAATAACCACCCAAACAATTTGGTCTGCAAGGATTTAGTGATTAGTATGTCAAACATTTGTTTTGTGAAAAACTAATTATGTGATGTGTGCCAAAAAGGGAAATAAGTAAGATCTTGTTTTAAATCTAAAAATGTTGTTTTCAAAAACCGACCCTTACAACATTTCCACATGGATCTCTTTGGCCCATCTGGAACCAAAAGATTTGGTGAAAATCTATATGCCCGTATATTTGTGGATGACTACTCTCGCTATGCATGAAGAATATATTTATCTCATAAAAGAGACGTGTTTGCTGCCTTTCAAAAACTTACTAGGATAATCCATAACGAGAAAGGATTAAACATTGCATTGATTTGTAGTGATCATGATGGCGAGTTCTATAATGAGAAATTTAAAAAGTATTATAATGAGAATGGAATTCAAAACACTTTCTCCATTACACAAATTTTCAATGCGATGACGATGCTCAAGGAGACTAACCTTACTAAATAATTTTGGATGGATGTTATAGACATTGTTTTCTATGTAAGAAATTGTGTCTTGATAAAACCAATTTTAAAATTGATTTTGGATGGATGTTGTAGGCATTGTTTTCTATGTAATAAATTGTGTCTGATGAGACCAATTTTAAAATTGATGCCCTGTGAATTGTATAAAGGAATGAAGCTTAATGTCTCTTATATACATGTCTGTAGAAGCAAATGCTTTGTACTTAATAATCGAATGGATAATCTTAAATGTTTTGTACTTAATAATCGAAAGGTCTCTCATATACATGTCTTTAGAAGCAAATGCTTTGTACTTAAAAATCGAATGGATAATCTTAAATGCTTTGTACTTAATAATCGAAAGGATAATCTTAAAAAATTTGACTCTAAAGTTAATGAAGATGTATTCATAAGATATTCCACTTCTTGAAAATGAATGAGCTAAAAGGAAATCGTCGTTAAAATCCAACAAATGTGAAATATAAAAAATGAATGAGCTAAAAGGAAATCGTCGTTAAAATCCAACAAATGTGAAACCTATATTTCGTTTAAAAAATGGAGTTAGTATTTTGCATGAAGAATGTCATCACTTTCTTGAGATTTAACAAGACAAACACTAGCAATAAACTGAAAAGAAAAAAAAAATGTTGTTATCATGAGAAAACCTCATCGCACTAATAAGGTTTTTAGTGATAGAAAAAACATGAAGAAGGTTATGAATGGTTACAGACATGTGTGGTTGTGTAGGGGAAGGAAAAGTAATTGAAACAAAAACCTCTTAACTTAAATCATTTAAATTTGTTATCATTGAAACAACGAAAATTGATACTAATGCATAGGATGATTCTTGTATCCGAGTTTTTCTTTAATAAAAGAAAGGTACTTACTACTAATTTTAAAGCACCATTATAATATCTGGTACACGTATTTCTCTACTGTACATAAACAATAAACTCAACATATTTTATTTGTTTGTTGAATATAATACCTTAGAAGAAGCAGCTTACAAATAAAAAATTAAACAGTTGGCAACAAAACATGATTATGAGCAATCCTTCCACAGTTCTGCCTTTTCTATACAAAGGTGCAGCTTTTTTTCCAGAACAAGAGAAGGCTCATAAGCTCTACTATAACAGCCATAGTTTCATGGATACAGAGAAACACTTATTACTTATCGGCGTTGATTCCGAATATCCTGACCTTGTGCATGTTTGGGAACTTTGCGACAACTAGCACGATCACGGCAAATGTGTTGAAGAGCAGCATTGGATGTTCATAGTCGGTTGTGTGTGAGGCTATCAAGTACCTGTCAATGAGAAGAAGCAAAAGGTGAATAACACTGACTTTTAAGCACTAGTAGGAGAAAAAATTGAATTATATAACTGACTATTCAAAATTGGGATTATTCCATTATTAGGTCTCCAGCCATCAAATAAAAGCCATTTGGTATGACTCTTCTTTTGCCATCAAATAAAAGCCATTTGGTATGACTCTTCTTTTGCCATCAAATAAGAAGACTCAGAAATAAGACTCTTCAAGATTCAGAAATAAGACTAGTTTAAGTGTTGAACTAAGCTTTACTTCATTTGATATTAAAGCGTAGTGAATCTTGAGATTAATTATGAATAAGCTACTTAATTTGTGATACAAGTTTCGATGATTTAGCTTTTTACCATCAACATTCAATGCAAAAATTGGTCACACAACAAAAAAATTCAGTGCCAGAGTAACATAAGAATATAATAGTTCAAGTAGAATTTTCTTTGAAACTTGATAGACATATTTCAATCACAAACAACATATGCATTTCTCCATTTCATCCAACCAACTTGAATCTTACAGATTACATGTTGCATGTGGCTAATCCTCACCTCTCTTGACTCTCTCATTAGGACAGTGTCACCAGAAATAGAAAAAAAAAATGCAATGTGTTATGCAGTGTATGTAGAGTAGTCAATAGCAGCGCTATCCCGCTATAGTCGACAAGAGTGGAGGCAAACGCTATGGGAAGAGCCTTAGTCGTGTAGGACACTTATGCAGAGTAGTCAATAGCTGCGCTATCCCGCTATAGTCGACAAGAGTGGAGGCCGAACACTATGGGAAGAGCCTTAGCCATGTAGAACACTATAGCGGAAGCTATAGGGTAAATAGTGGGATAGCGGGGCAGAGCAGTTCCCTTAAATTTACAATGTAAGGGTAATTTTGGGTTTTTCAATCAAATTCGAGTCAAGACTCAACTTTAACCTTCCTTCATAATCGTTTATGAACTTCAAGGGTCAAGTGTGCTTTGATTTATGAATATTTCATGAGTTGAGTTATTTGTTTAATTTTACATTAAATATATGTCTATAACTATTATATGTAATGTATCCAAAAAATGATCAAATAGAGCGGTCATCCCGTTTATAACTATCCAGCTATCCCACTTTTGAGGGCGGCCGCTCCGTGCCACTATCCGAGAATGACTACTCAGGCGTTATGGGACTAATCTTGGAATGCTCAGCAACTATCTAGATAGAGACATAAAGTGATGCATAATGGAAATTTCAACAATACTAATCAGTACAAAACAAGACAACATAGTTAGGCAAGCAAGCCAACCCCCCTGTGAGGAAGTTTCCAAAAATGTGTTCATAACCTAGAGCAGACCAAATCATAGATTTTGCTAGAGCTACGGAAAGTTCCTTTTGCAATGTGCTATAGATGTTGTTCATTGAAGCATTTGGCATGCAAAACGCTGTCATTTTGTTTTCCTGAGTTTTTTCGCTGGTTTTAATTCATTTCGATTTTTCATTTAACTCTTTCCCTGTTTGTGCACTAATTTGTTTGCTAATAAGATTATAAACACAATCAATATTTGTTTATATAATTGTCAGTAAGATCTATTCACTCTATGTCCTATTAAACATTGAAAGTGGACCTTGTATCAGATATAACTTTCTATTCCAAAACATCTATTTGCACTTTTTATTTCCATTCCTCCCTTTGGTGCATTACATGTGTAACTAATAACTAGGGGTGTTCTAAACCGAACTGGCCCAATAGAAAATCGCTAACCGAACCGAACCGAAAACCGCAAAAAACTGCATTCGGATGTGTTCGGGTCATTTTTAAACAAAACCGCGCAATTTGGTTCGGTTTGCAGTTTGTATTTTACAAACCGAATCAAACCAAACCAAACCGCATTATGTCACAATCCAAAATTCACTTAGTCCACATCCAAATCTATTATGCCTTAGCCTAACGATTACGAACGATTTTCTCTTCCTCACACTTATGGTTTCAGTTTCAGTTTTCTCAAATATCTTCAGCAGTAAGCATCTTCTTTTCATCCTCTTTGTCGAGTACATCTCGCCTCTTCTCTAATATCTCCTATCTTATGTTCTTTTTTTTCATCTTCTCATTTTTATGCTACCGTTCTTTCTTCCAATTACGTTTTTATCGCACCTCTTCTCTAATCTTTCATCTTTCCTATTCTTCCTTTTTCATCTTCTCTAATCTCTCCATTCCTCTAGGTTTTTTTCATTATAATGTTGATATTGTTTTATGCCACTATTTGATGTTTTTTATTTACTTTTGTCTAATCTGATTTTTGTATATTAAATGGAAGTTGTTATTCATATATGATGAGTTTTGTTGTTATTTGGTAATGTATGAAAGACTAAACACAAAGTTACATTGTCCTCTATATGTGTATGTATGGTTCAATAAAAATTTTGTAAAAAACTGAACCAACTCAAACCGCATTAGTTTGGTTTGGTTCGGTTTTATTTCTAAAAGTCAAGCGAACCGCACGGTTTAGGTGGTTTAGCGACAAAACCACCCAAACCACACCGCAAACACCTCTACTAATAACTATCCACCAAATTTGTCAATAAAAAGTCGAAAAATTTTGACCTTTCTATTTGTGGGAACAATGGGGAAAAGATTGTGTAGATAACAAATATGCTACGGTCTCACTAGTCCCTTTAATATCAAAGGGATTGGCTTTAACCTGTTTATTTGTCGTGTATTTACTTTGTTTCTACTTTTGAACCTTGTTAATGAGGCTTTCTTATTTATTGTTGCCTATTCTTTTTTACTAAAATATAAGCAAATTTTAACTAGTTTCACTCTAGTTAATGCTATCAATCCCAAAATACTTACGAAAATTGATCACAAGAAGACACAAACACACTTGCTTGCATCAGAGTAGACACTACATTAATCACTGCACACCAATTATTGTTTATATGACACGACTGTACAAAATAAAAACCCTGTGATATCAGCAGGAACAAACACCGCTTAAAACAAACGCAGGCATGAAAATGGAGAACTTACAGAACCAAAGGAACAACTGTCAAAAACTTCCTGTTACGAGTGAGCTGCTGTCCATTGTCGACCTGCTCCCACCATGTTAATCTGTTGTAGATCCCCTGATCATCCGCAAACGGAGTTCCTTTCTTCCAGTGGAAAAAGTGATATGTTACCTGATGGACATAACATAATCAATCAAGCCATGTAGAGAGATCAAATTATTATAACATTCATAAATAGTAACTGACAACAAAATATATTAATTTGTAGCTTGATCCAGTCAAACAGAGGTTAGGCAAGTACAAACATTTAGAATATTGCAAGAAAGAGGGAAACTGAAAATTACAGCACCTTAAAATCATGTGTAGTTAAAGAATCACATAAACAAACACATAAAAAATCGTCTTCTTAAAAATTACATTTCAAAACACACAATCTTCCTAATAAACATCTGTAAAGCATAATGGGCACTTGCTCGCGAAAAAATACAGAAAATGTTTGGTCAGTAATTAGGCGCAAACCCAGTCACTCATGATCACAACCATTGACAAGAAGAGTCCCACAAGAGACATTGGAGACTCCAAGAAAATACTCTAATAGCATTGAACCGACGTCAGAGTAGCCATTCCTGGATAGTGGTGTGGAGCTGCCGACCGCAGAAGTGGGATAGCGGGATAGAGTTTAGCGGGATGACCACTCTATTTGATTATTTTTTGGATAAATTACACATAATGACTATAAACATATATTTAATGTAAAATGAAACAAATAGCTCAACTAATAAAATATTCATAAATCAAAGCACAAATGACTCTTGAAGTGCATAAACAACTATGAAGGAAGGTTAAGATTGAGTCTATACTCAAATTTGATTGAAAAACCCAAAATTATCCTTAAAACGTTGTAAATTTAAGAGGCAATTCCTGTTTTTTAGAGGGGAAAAGGATGGCGGACCAGAAACCGCTCCGAGCCGAGAACCGCTCTGCTCGGCTATCCCGCTATTTACCCTATAGTGTTCTGCACCGCTAAGGCTCTTCCCATAGCGGTCAGCCTCCACTCTGCTCCCCTATATTGGAATAGCACCATTTTTTACTACTCTGACCAACATCTTCCCAAACTATGACACAATGAGAGGCCAAGAATGGTGTAGGAACAGACTAAGAAGAATAAATACCAGACAATTCCTATGCATATAGCAGAGGGAATGCACAAGAGTAAGAAAATGTAGGGCTGTCCGGAGGATAGATCCTTGTATCTTCAATTTTCCGGAATAGGTTGTTAAAGAAAGTATTGTTAACTTCCAATAGAATTTTGTAAGGTTACTCTATGTTATTGTTTCTAACTAACTACGCATTCTGAATCCAAAACCTTTGCAAGTCCAGCACAATTAACTTTTAAGAAACATGAAATTCATACATTCATCCATCAAAACTACAATCAACACATTTCAATTAAACAATTACTAAAAACCCAAAACAAATTAAACAAACACACTGAAAAATAAAACCTTGAACTACAAGGTTTCCAAATAAGTCATAATCATAAATCATCAGGGGGCAAATCAGGAAAACAACAAAAAAGAAAACCAAATCAAACACAAAATTCAATTAAATTCCAATTCTAACAATTCAAAACAAAACCAAAAACAAAAACAATCAAAATAAAAACAAAGAGAAAAGGGTAAAAAAGGACGATACAAGAAAATGAGCGAGATTAACAATTGTCCAAGCGATTCCCGGCGAACACCCAAACACAGAGAGAACGAGGATCCACGAGAAGAACAGGATGAGGATATAGGTAGTCCAAACACCAGGATACGTAAACCATTCGGTGTTCCTGTTCAGATCCGCAGGTGGCACAGCTTTCACGTACAGATTTGCCATCAAATTTCAAAAATGTAAATACACGATTCTAATTGAAATCACGAATTCAATGATCGTAGATGTGAAAGTTTTGAGCTTGACGATGATGGTGATTGTGGTGGGTTTGATTTAGGGCTATTTCTGAATGAAAATTCCAAAACCCAGAAACGCAACCCTTTTTTTTCTACCTGGTGTTAATGTTATGTCAATGATAGCGTGCGTGTGTGAATGTGAATGAAATTGGAAAATTGGAAAATAAAATAAATACCTAAATATATCATATCATCAAAATTTATTTTAAAATAAAAAGAAGAATAAAACATAAGAAAAAAAAAATTTTAAGTTGATTAATCAAATTTTTATTTTAAAAAAATAGAAAACTAAAAGTATTTAGTGGTCATGTAAATATTTGAGTTAATATAAGAGAATATTTTCTTTTGTGGCTTTTCAAAAAAGAGAAAGTATTTTTGGAGTTTATTTTGGTGAAAGTGAAACAAGAAAGCTTTGTTGTTTTTTGTGCAATAATAACTAAACGCCGACTTGTTGTTGGTAAGAAAATGTCAATTTTAGCAAAATGATAAGGATGACAAATAATTATAGAGAGCAAATTTAGAGGGAGCATATTGTTATTCAACCTTAATATAAGAGAAAAACGAAATAGGACAGCAAAAAATTTAAAATAGAATTAACGAATACAATTAACAAGAGAATTAATAAACCAAACAATTTTATCACACACAAAACATCCTTAAATCTAGCACAAATTCAATCCAAAAGACAAAGATTTGTCAAAAAAAACACTAAATCATTGACATTTTTTTTGCCTACATTAAAAAGAATATCATTACCCAATAATCAAATGGCTCTAACCGTTGCTAACTAAAAAAACAATTGAAACTCTTTTTTAATGTTGCCTTTCGATTTTATGTCAAACTAATCTGCCTAACATAGAGGAAAATGTTGCCACACGGAGAAAGGTATCTAAGACTAGTCAAATCCATAATTTTGCACCAAACAAAAATAACTTTTTGACATAATAGAGAAAAAGATGATATGAGATTCGGATTCACCAAAGCATAATGGACATATCGTGTTATGAGACCCTAAGATAATTTCATGTTTTGCTAGTTCATCTTTCGTTTGTAGTCGGTTGAGAAAAAATCTTCAAGTGAATACTTGAATATTATAGGAGGCATACTTGAATACTTAAGTAACAAAGTTAATCGGTTACCACCCCATGTTAATTAGTTACAGCAAGGTCAGAAGCTCATCCAAGTAGCAGAAAATTGGTGTTTTCATTGTTGTAACTGGTTAATCTATTGTGTTAATCGGTTACAACTGAAAGGATTTTATTTTTTCATGTCAGGTGTAACCGGTTACGAGCCCGAATGTTGTGCTTTTCTGATATTTTACTTGGTATTTTGTTTCACAATCACATTGTAACTCTTGCATAAATGTATAGGATGCATTTTCATCCTAGGTTAATGCAATCATAACTTCTCACCCTCAATTCTCTCTCTCTCTCTCTCTCTCTCTCTCTCTCTCTCTCTCTCTCTCTCTTAACTTTCCTCTTTCACTCTCCACATTCAAAATTTCTCCACCATTTTTCATCAAACTTGTGGTTTCTTGTTCCAACATTTGGCATCAAGAATCTGGTTCAGATCCACAAACACCTAGTGTGCAACATAAATTTTGTCTCCAATACAATAATTCCTACAAACCTACATATTCTTGATGTAAAGAATTACAACAAATGGTGCAAGCAAATGAAGATATTGTTTGGCTACCAAGATATTTTTGAAGTGACCAATAATAGTGCTATTCCTCTTGTCCAAGATGTAACATAAGCACAACAAGCAACACATAAGAAAGAGAAGAATAAAGATTTCAAGGCGTTGTCTTTTATTCATCAATGTGTTGATGGTGACAATTTTGAGAAAGTAAGTGATTGTGAATCGCCAAAGCAAGCGTGGGAAATCTTAGAGAATGCCTATGCAGGGGCTGACAAGGCGAGAGTGGCGAGGTTACAAAATTACAAATGTTAGCTCGAATTGATTCAAATGGAATAAATAAAGACAATCAACGATTTCATAACAAGAATCACTCTATTTGTGAATCAAGTGAAGGCATGCGTAGAAGTTGTTATGGAGCAATATATTATCGCAAAAATCTTACATTCTTTAACACCAAGATTTGACAATGTAGTTGTGGTGATTGAGAAATCAAAGAATCTTGCAACGATGAGCAAAGAGGAGTTGTAAAGCTCTCTTGAGGCTCATGGGAAAAGGATGGAGGAGAGAAATAATGATATGGAAAAGGTGGAGATTGTTTTGCAAGCTCGTTTCAACAAAAACAATAAGAGATCGAAAGGAAATGGTCCATGAAGAGTAAAGGGAATTTTCATAATTTTGGTGGAAGAGAGACATAAAATTCAAAGAATTCGACTTGTCAAATAGGTGAGAACAGCTGCAACAAAAATGTTGGTCAAGACAAGTTTAAAGGTGAAAATAAGAGGTTTGACAAGAGCAAAGAGCAGTGTTATAAGTGTCAAAGGTTTGGTCATTTGCAAAATAGTGCAATGTGAACAAGAAGGAATCTCAAGGGGATGAAGTCATGGTTACAAGATAATAGTTTTATGAATAAAATACACTCTTGGTCATTATCATGAAAGGATATTGCAGCAGTAATAAGTTGTGGGACAACCGCAACAGCCGCTCAAAGAATTATGAAAAATTAAGTTGTGATCGATTGAACGATGCAGTTAACCGGTTGTATGAAGAGGAAGACGCCATAATAAGTATGAAAGGAATTAAATGTAGAGAGGTGTGGTATTTGGAATCGACTTGTTCAACTCATATTACGGGAAGGAAGGATTGGTTTGTCAAAATCAATCGTGACATGAAGAATAAAGTAAAGTTTGCGGATGACACCACTCTAGTGGCCGATGGGATCGGTGATGTTTTGATCATGAGGAGGGATGATGGACATTCCTTGATCAAAGATGTCTTATACATTACAGGAATCAAATGTAACCTTCCAAGTATTGGTTAAGTGCTTAAGAAGGCTTAAAAGATTCACATGGAAAACAAGAGATTGCATGTTATGGATGAAAATAAAGTTTTGGTCCATAAAATGCTTATGGATGCCAATAGAACCTTTAAGGTTGAGTCAAAGGTTATAGAGAAAAGATGTCTTTCTACTGCAGCAAGTCGTGAAGGTCTATGTGGTCTTTCATCTTGGGCATCTCAACTTTAGAGATCTCAAAGACTTTGAAAAGAATGAAATGGTAACGGGGATGCCATCGATCAGCATACCAGCTGAAATTTGTGAAGAATGTGTGCAAACAAAACAACAAAAGGGTAAATTCAGCAAGGATGCAGACCGTAGAACCAATAATCACCAAGAGGTGGTGTATTTGGATGTATGTGGGTCGATGCTGAAGGTGAGAAAATACTTAGAAGGGGGGTTGAATAAGTATGAAGATAAAAACTTAGAAGTAAAAACTCAAGTATTTTTATCCTAGTTCGTTGAACTCAACTACTTCAGTCCACCCTATCTAGAGTGATTTGCCTTTCTCAAACAAGGACTTGATCTACTATTTAATCAACTGATTACAATAGTAACCACTAAGAACAACTATTCAAAGTCTTCTCAAGAACTACTGATCCCAACTGGATCTTCTTAAGGAACTATTACAATAAAATGTAAGATTAATACAAGTGTATGAATGCTTCTAACAAGCTTTATCACAACAGTGATTTTTCACTTAATGTTAAGAACAAAAGAATAAACTCAGCAATAAGAATATTTTATGAGAGCTTGTAAGAGTTTCTTTTTGAGATTCGTTGGTTGTAGATCACTACTGAAGAAGATGATGAAGACTTGCTTTTATATGCACAGTAGTCCACAAAGTCTTGACATTGGAGGTTGTGTACTGAAAAGGCCTGAACCTTTTTGTCTTTACATCACATGACCTTTCCTGGAAGTAGAATGCACAGAGAAATGCTTTTGGTCTGTGTTCTAGTGTCAAGCATGAAAGAGGAAAGAGTCGTTGAGCTAAATCAAAGGATATTACTTTGAATTCTTCTTCAATAATTATTTCTTTTCAGCAGGGTAACCATCAGATCTTGCATGATCAGAGTCTTGGATTCCCATCAGATTTTGCTGAATCAGAGTAAGGCAGCAAGTGTGCTTTAGCGTGTAGTTCTTTCAGAGCAGAGTTTTATGAATCAGATCCTCAGTACATGCAGCGTGTAGTACTCTCAGAGTCTTATGAAAAACTGAGCTTCTTAACTCTCATACAAAGTTCTTTAATGCTTCATAGTCTTCAGATCTTATTAGAGTCTTCTGCTTCAGATTCTTCTGTAGCTTCTGCTTCAGATTCTTCTGTAGCTTCTGCTTCAGATTCTTCTGCAGACAGCGCTCAGATTCTTCTATAAGATGATTCTGATTCTTCAGAGCCTTCCATAGTTCTATGTTCAGATTAATTTGCTCTTGGATATATATATATATATATATATATATATATATATATATATATATATATATATATATATATATATATATATATATATATATATATATATATATATATATATACTTTAATTATCTGCAACAAATATTCATGAACTAATTTTAGAGTATATAATTATTTAATACAAAATTTCATAAGAGTTATCATCAAAACATAGAGATATTACTAAGAAACAATTTGTGTTCTTACAATCTCCCCCTTTTTGATGATGACAAAACATGAGAAATTTTGTTCAATAAAAAAACAATAATTATAACTCCCCCTGAGATTAAGAATCTCCCCCTGAAATTAATATTCTAAGGAAAGGAATACTTCCCTTTTTGCTTGAGTGTATTTCAGAATCAGAGTCTGATGACTTCTTTTCAAACACAGAGTCTGGTTAATCAGAGTCTGATGACTTCTTTCAATCACAGAGTCTGGTTTTGCGTTTAGACTCAGAGTACAATTTGCTTCAAGAATCAAAGTCTGGTTGGATAATTCTCAGGAT